ATAACATAGACATCATTTTTGTCATCTCTCGAACAACACGTAAAACCTTGATTTGTAGAAAACATGGTCGACCAAACAAGGTAGATATGTCATACATATATGCACTGGCGCATAACACAATGACATTTTATTTCAGAATATTTTATTGTCTTGATGTTGATGACAAATGGAATTGGGCAACAGGCAGAGCCTATGAAAGCCCTCTCCGTACAATTTAAACAAGTACACTGACACATCAATCAAAATTAAAGATATTAAATAATAATGATAGCATTCCAGGAATAAGAATTTAGAATATAGATTCATATGAATAATAATTATCTAACAGAAATGTAAGGCAAGCATTACCATCATTTATATTATAGTGTTAGAGAGTAGTAAGATTAGATAGGTAATATAATTATATATAACAAGATGGAGTCAAAGTTTGTCGATTGATCTCGGCACAGGCTGCAGGTTCAAACAGTTCATATACCCACAATCCTGATCCGAGTCCGTAAAAATTGACAGGAGGACTAAACTTAAGATAACAGATTCAAATTCAAAATTGAAAAAATGTATATATAAGTTTACTAAGGCTAAAACCGGCGACCGGTATCAATTATGAATTTCTGAACCAAATCAAGAATAGATTTATTTATATTTGCATCAAGTGTATGAGATCCTTTAAGAAATGTATCAGTGGTAAGAGGTATAGAATCACTAAGAGTAGAAAGAGAATTAAGAAGGAGTTGTCTTTGGATAGTAAAGAAGGGACAATGGAAAAGAAGTGAATAGGATCTTCAACTGGGTGGCTACAAGTACAGGCAGGGTTGCCATTAAGGTGGGAATCAAATAAGTCAGAATTCAAGTTACTTGCAGAGTTTCTTAGTTGACACAAGATTATGTTTGCCTTTCTGTTACCGTATCATTTAAAAGTATCAGTGCATTGTAAAAGAGGATTGATAACAGGCTGTGACAAAAATGGGTTTTTTTTATTGCATAAATGGATATCAATGAGGGAAACAGACAGGATGGGTCGTTCCATTCAGTCATGAGTTTTGGAAAGAAACTAGTGCTATATTGACGAGTTCTTGCAAGGGGCACATCAAACAACCTATTGTGTCGAAGAGGATAATCAGCAGTATTATTGTTGATAAAAGGCTGGATAGAATCAGTTACATGAGGAGGGCATCTGTTATCTAAAATCTTTTAAAAATGGTTATTTTGATGTAGGTGTCTTCGTTTAGCTTATGGTATTAATCTAGACTCATTATAAAGGATAGCATGACTGGTGCCCCGTCTCAGGCCAGTAATAATATGTATTGCCTCTAATTGAACTGATTCTAAGATGTTGCATTCCCTTTCTGTGTTAGACCAAACAATATCAGCATATTCTAAAATAGGACAAATAAATGTAATACATATTAATTCAAGTGACTTTCTGTCAATTTTTTACTTCAACATTCTAAGAATATTTATTCGTTTATCAGCTTTCTCGTACATAAAGCTTATGTGGTTGGACCAATTAGCATGACTTAAAAATTAGGCCCAGGTGCTTATGAAAGGTAACATTTTTAATAACTGAGTTATTAAAATACAGGTTTGGATGCAACATTTCAGAATCTATTCGCCTAGAAAAGAGTAGGGATTCAGTCTTATCTGGATTAGAAAATAATACCCCACCTATTGGCACATCTAAATTTTTTTTGGAGATCATCATTTAGTATATCAGCCGCATCTTGCCTGTAACCATCAATTAGGCCATATAAAGATATCTCATAAGCAAATAATGGCACATTAGATAGTAAATCATCACCAATATCATTAATATATAGCAAGAACAGATAAGGACCAAGAACTGAACCTTGTGAGACCCCAGCCTGTAATGTTTTCCAATTGGACTTGTACCCATCTAGGACCACTCTCTGTCTCCTGTCAGATAAATAAGATGAAAACCACTTTAATATGTTATTACTAATACCATATTTTTTTCAATTTGTATATTAACCCATCATGCCACACTCTATCAAACGCTTTCCTAATATTACAAAATATCATTCTTGCTTCTTTACCTTTATCCAAATGTTTAATAATTTCATCATATATAATTAAAAGTTGATTAACAGTAGAATCTTTTGGTAAAAAACCTAGTTCTAGAGTTAATATTGTATCTTGAAAGATAGTTATACAAATATTTGAAAACAATTTTCTCAAGAATTTTATTGAAGATTGGAGTAACAGAGATGGGCCTATAGTTGGAGCGGTCACTTTTTCCTCCTTTTCCTTTATATACAGGTGTTTTTATTATGGGTATTTTTCCAGAACTTTGGGAGGGATGGAATCAGAGCCTACAGGTTTGTTAGTATTTAGAAGCTGAAGTTGGTCAATAATGTCCTGTTCAGTTATGTCGATAGAAGAGAAGATATTAATTGTTGGGGGATAATCAGGTGGTAAATCATCAGCATCTTGTCTGTCACTGAAATAGATGTGATGTAATCATTGAAAGATTCAGCTTTATCTAGAGGGTCATCATTAATTTTCAGGGGAGAGTCAGCATCGCTTTTATTTTGAAGATTCATTACTGATTTAGCAATTCGCCACCATTTTCCAGGAGGAATAGTTTTATCAATAAGAGAAGATTGTAATTTAGATAGATGTATATTTTAGCCTCTCGGATTAAGGTATTTACATGGTTTTGAATAGTTTTAAGTTTATTCCAGGAGGCTTACGAATTCTGTTGTTTAGCTTTAGAATGCTGACAATTTCTCTGTCTTATTTTCAGTCTTAATTTCATTAGTCATCCATATTTTGTCATTAGGTCTAATAGTTACAGTCTTGTTAGGTACAAATTGGTCAATAGCAGAATTTTGTTAGATAGAATATAATTCATTTCATCAATATCACCTACTAATTGAATTCCAATATCACCTACTAATTGAATTCCAGTCAATAGAACTAAGAAATTCATTTGCTCCGTCAAATTAGTATTTTGGAAATATAAAAGGTTTTCTTTTTTATAAGCAAGTTTCTTAAAAGACTCGAAGTTTAAGTTAGCAGTAATTGGGGAGTGGTCACTACAAGATGGGGGTAGCACAGATGTATTAGTAACAAAGTTAACATTATTAGTAATAAGAATATCAAATGAAGTTGAAGAATGAGGAGTAATCCTGGTAAGTTCAGTAACAGTATTTTGTATTCCATATTTCAATAAGAGTCTATAAAAATGAGAGTTTGGACTAAGGTTTAGCATATCTTGATTAATATCTCCAACCAGAATTACTTCTCTTTGTAAATCAAACACATCATTCAAATTATTTTCAAGTGTTTGCCAGTAATTAACAAGAGAATTTGGAGATCTGTAGATACAACCAATTAAAGTAGGCTTATTATGAGTGGATACCTCAACCCAAAGTAATTCTGATTCATCAGACTTAAGATCAGTTCTTCGCTTGATATTAAGATTGATTTTAGAGTAGATAAGAACACCACCATCACCACAGTTATTTCGATCTTTTCTGAAGAGATTACCATAGTTTTCAAGTGATATATCATTGTCAGGAATAGAATCATTGAGATGAGTTTCACTAACGCATAAAATATTATAGTCAGAGAATTCTGCATCAAGACGATGGGTCTTGTTTCTCAATGAACATACGTTTATGTGACAAATAGAATATTTTGAAAGATAGAGCTAGTATTATTATCAGGACAAGGGTTATGGTGAATATCGCCACATAATATTAATAAAATATATATCAGCAATAAATACTCAGTGTTTAATGAACATAATGTCAGAGAATCATAAATAATACCGAAATGATTTACCAAGTTACTCAATACTCCACTGGTACAGGAAGGCTCAATACATTTAACCATTGTCAAAAATCAGAAGAAATGCACTAAAATGATATATTATCAACGTAGAGCATCGAGTGACATGGAGATACCAATTGTAAAGATGATAATGCGTTTGTAAATATCTAACAGGTGATGGACATGTATATCTGCTTATATACATAGAAAAAAAGAGTACAAATGGAAATAGAACAACATAGGATGAAAAACTATCAAGATAAGTAGCATCCCAGGTCCATGTGGGGAAATCTGGTCATGGTATAAAATAATCATAACGTATAAATGGAAGAATATATTCCATCAAACATCCAGGTGATTGAGAATGTAACCGGAAGCTGTGGGTGCTTACCATTAGATAGGCTACGAGCGGTTAATAATAGAGGGGTTGAATTCACTAGAAATATTGTCCATTGACACAATGACATAATATAATCATGTCATCTTTATTTCTTCGTGCAAAGCTTGCTTCCCTGTGTCAATTATTCTGTTCACTGAGGTGTCATCTTTTATTTCATTATCTGTTAAATCCATAATGGGCACTGGATATCGACGAACCGAGATTTGTTTAACTTTTAAGAATACAACACCATAACATGCTTAAGTACTTTATAATAGATGTACTGAGGTTAACAATTATTATTTCAGGTGGGGTTCGCACGGCAATATATACACAATGCACGGATGGCTGTTACCAGGCGCGAGTCTTTACATTAATTACTTTCATATTTTATGTATGGAAGAACTCCATTACCAAATCATGTTTAATATCAAATTCAAAATCAATCAAAATAACTATTTTCTTTGCTCTGCTTGATGTTTTCTGTCAACACCATGCGTCACCACTGTACACATTGACGTGATATATTATGTAAAGTTGACCAAAAAACTATATCATACAAAATTAACAATAGCGGTCTTTATATCGTAAATGCATTGTCTTCCCAAGATATATGATGTTTTTTAATTTTTTTTATAAACAGGTATCTCTGATATTAGAATAACTTTTAAAAAGTTTAACTTAGAAGTGTTCCTGATTAGATAACTTTTGTTTTCCTATACATGTATCGGGGGAATTGTCCGCTTGGGACTCCATACTTAGTTCCACCTCGTGTGTGTGTAGTAAACATACAGCTGAGCTGATATAATCGCAAGTGGGTTAAAACACGTCGACACATCAACATGGCCGAGTTAAAGAAGGTTGCCTGTGAAGCAATTGACAAGGTATCCTCGGAACTAAACGACATCAGTCAAGAATTGTGGAAGAACCCCGAGTTAAACTTCAACGAGCACCATGCTCACACCATATTGACGGATTTCCTGGAGAATCAAGGATTTACAGTTGATAGGAAGTATAAACTCGACACAGCTTTCCGAGCCACATTCGGTGACGAGAGTGCAGGTCCGCATGTGGCTGTATTGTGTGAGTATGATGCACTTCCAGAGATTGGTCATGCCTGCGGGCACAACCTGATAGCTGAACTAGGCGTGGCGGCCGGTGTCGGGATCAAGACCGCCATGGAAGCATCCGAGCAACCCATTGGCAAGGTATAGTTGATCTTTTTTACAAAGTAGTTTATTCTCAAGCGTGTATTGATTTACATCGATAATATGTCCTTAACAACATCAAATGATTGGTATTCTATTCGAAAGTAGGATTTTTGTTTTACAATTCTATACTTGGTATAAGCTTTTGACTTGACACGCTTGTGAACATCATTTGAACACGCACTGATTATAGCTACGTTGTCAGCAGTGAAATATCCCTACATTGGCCCGTTGCACACCATACCTGACCTGAACGCTCTATATTCGTTCCGAATTGATGTTCCACTTGCTTGTGTGTTATCAATGTTACAAAAGCATTATATTGCTGTTCTATCAATAACTATGAACATAAAAATCACGTAATCACAATATCCGGGAAAAATATTAGTAACACCGACCACAGAAACAAATACACGCCGAATCGAATATGTATAATTACATGAAACAAGCAAGTATAGCAGTAACTTATCCATATATCACATGTTAAATCAGCACACGGATATTAGGCCCAGATCGATTAACAATTTATCACCAACGAAGACATCAGATAGATACTGATATCTATAGTTTTCAATCTTTTCTCAAAGTAAATAAATCTAGATTCATCGCCAGAACATTTGGAAAATCATCCTCGCGAATGAGACTGATAGATCTGCATGAGGATACCAAGTCTCATGCGAGTATTTTTCAATATTTGCAATAAATGTCAAAGACATTTGACGAGGTATCAGTGTTATATCAGAAAAAATAACAGATAATTTGCATATCAGTCATGTGGGTTTACTCTATTTTCCTTTTGAAGGAAATATATAACCTATGAAGCACATGAATGACGTTTTTTTAAATCAAGTCTTGTTACTAATTAAATTGTAACCAACGTCGTACTTACCTTTAGTAGTGATTGGAAATCAATACCAATTAACGACTATCGAATGTTATTGTGACCGAACATGTTGTTGGAGTATGCCAATGTTAACTTATAGACTTTACCTTTAAATTGTAATATAAATTTGATAATCTAATAAAAGATCTGTGATAATAGATTATCTTAAGAAGAGTATAAATATGTTCTGTGAAAACCTATGTCATGTAAACATGATAGCATAAAATAAATGAATAATTTTTAGAATTATAAGTTTTATATCTTACATCCTTATCTAATATCATGTTGATAACTCCAGTAGAACAACCCTAAGTTTATTTTATTTACTAGTTGAGTGTATTGGGTACACCAGCGGAGGAAGGCGGCAATGGAAAGGGACATCTTCTAAAAAGTGGTACATTCAGCGATTATGACGTCGCGATGATGTCACATCCGTTTAAATGTGATGGTGTTCGGCCAGGGAATATGTTAATTTCAGTAGATATGTATGTTAATTACCTGACATTATCATTGTTACGCGGAAACAAACTCACATAAATTCCTCTCACTGATCACACGTTTTAGATGTCAACTGTCATGTTTACGTGGGTACTCGTGTTCAAATGTGAGGACTTCTTGATGTTGACAAGAACCGCTATCCCAGTAACACGCCGATTTGGATCAAACTGCGTTATAAATATTTATATTATAAAAAAATTGCTGATTACCATTATGATCTGAATTTGCGTTACACTTCCATGTTGAGAAACAGTTAATGTATAGTATGGCTGAAAGTTTCGTTGTCATTAATTCAGATCTCTTTGGAAGCTTTCGTAACTTCGCAACTCGGTCTTTCAAGCAGATGATAACTGCACGTTCAGAAGAACTTGTTCTGTCCATTCAATTATGGGTTATGAAGACAGTGCGTTTGCATGCCGGTGTCATGCTAAATTATTCTACTGATAAAGATTTTATATAACAAATACTGGGAAATCTAGAACATATAGCCTGATCTAATCGGAATAGTCTATACTGAATGTCCTCTATCACGCCGAACTATTCACATGGCGCTTATTGTTTTTAGTGGACACTAGTATTCTATCCGTTGAGGTTTGTTGATCTTTTGTACCTGCTGTAGCTGACGGTGTTAGGAACTCCAGCTGAAGAAGGTGGGGGTGGAAAAATCCTTCTCATCGACAAACACGGATTTGAGAATTTTGACGTCTCAATGATGTCACATCCGGTTCCTGGGGATATTCTGAAGCCACGAATGCTTGCTCGTCAGAGGTTTGCAAATAAAAAAATATATAGTTAAGAATATAAATCTAGAATATATCTTTAAAGCGCAAATTGTAGTTGAAAGAAAGTTCAAATTTTAGATTTCATCTCATCGGCTTCTGAAATAATCAGCATGTGATAAGTATGCAACCCTGTAACCACAGCTTTGCTGATCTCATCAGAAAATTCAGTTTGCATTTACAGTTGACATCTGCAACGTCTAATTTACCTTCCTATTCGTCCTGCAATTACAATATACATCTTAAAGAGCTTTTGACGCTGACTTTCTATTTCCAAACCTAGCATGTTTCCTATGTATCAGCTAAACACAGATCCAGTAATCATTTATAACAGAGATATTCTTGGCAGATAACGATAATGGGGACACCGGACGAGGAAAACAGAGGTGGTAAACTAGATTTGCTACAAAAAGGAGCATTTCAGAAATTTGACGTAGCTATGATGTCACATCCAGCGCCGAATGACTCTGTTCTTGCAAACATGCTGGCAGTGGATTGGTCAGTTTGATAAACAAACCCATTCATTGTTTCCATGGATGATATAGTGTTCATTTATGCACCTGTATTTATATATTTCACCATATATTCCTCATTACCCATTAAACACTCATTTAATAAAGTGAAAACATTACCTACTATAATCAGAGCATCCTACCTTATGTAATCAGTGTTAAAACTTTTTATCTTATTTCAACACTATGAATAAATAGATATATAGATATATCCCTTTGTATGATTGACGTGCTCATTTCATTTGCAAACATGTTTGACATCAAAATTGCATATTTAAGAGTTATGGTTTTTTTATAAGTCTTATAACATTATTTGTTTCCAGGGTAACAGTAACTTACAAGGGAAAGGCCAGTCACGCCGCTGCCTTTCCCTGGGAGGGGGTTAACGCACTGGACGCTGCAGTAACGTGCTATCAGACCGTGTCTTGTATGCGCCAGCAGATGAAACCGACATGGAGAGTCCATGGTGATTACTTAAATCTACCAGAAATTGACACTAAAAGTACCTTATTCCAAATGTGCCAACCGTTTTTATGAAGTAACGAAACACATATTTGAACGGTATAGGCAAGGTATCAGTTGTTATGCAATATTCTTAAGTGTATTTCATAAGCAACGACTTAGTATTTTCATAATATAATATAATAATCATTATAAGTTATTAATTTGTACTTTAGTCTTAGAATTAAATTACATACAAATGAAACTATCTATGGATGTATATTTTTTCCTGAAGGAATAATCACTAAAGGTGGACTGAGGCCAAATATTATACCAGAAGAAGCTGCTCTAGAATACTACATTCGGGCACCGAACAAGGCCGAGCTTCACATGCTAAGGGAAAAGATCATGAATTGTTTTGAAAGTGCAGCGACAGCTACAGGATGTAAGGTAGTTCGATATAGCTTTCATAATGTATACACTATATCTACCTGATTGTTATGAACTTATTGTGTATAGTTTGGCTTTTGACTGAATCGCAACTTCTGACATATTTGGTTAAATGTTGATGTGTATACAGGTCTAATTGCGTGAAGAAGGGTAGCTATAGAAAGGATTTCAGGTTCAATTCGGCATTACTATGACGTCATACATCCATCAAAGGGTCCTTATCCGTTATTGTTGGAAGATATGGAAGTATCCATCCATTGGTCTTATATGTAGTGTGAGTGTTCTCTTATTTGACCTTAGATGGTTGTCCTTGTGTGAGATGGAAGTATCCATCCATTTCAGTGTATTGGTATGATATATAAGTATGAGAATCCTATAGAAACATGCAGTATCAAATAATTCAAATCTAAAATAAATTTCGGATTAGAAAGCTGAATGTTTCTTCCCCTTCCAAAGTTCAACATGCTTACGAAATACTTACCCTGTATTATGATTAGCTTCATATTCTGTATCCTTGGAGAAAGGGAAACCGATTTTGTATAAAAGGTCTCGGCCACGTGGGTTTGGGCCCAATAGGGAAAATCTATCAACTCTTTGAAATCTGTCTTGTTCTTCAGTAATTGCACGATATTGTCCAAATTGTTATGAAGCATGCTTGGGTGAAGGGAAATCACTTTATATTAACGGTGGGTCTCGGTCCCCTGGGGCCAGATAGGCGGCGCCCAATAGGGAAAACTATCAATTTCTTAAAAACCTATCTTGTTCTTATATAGGAATGCCTGGACTCTGTCCCAATTTGGTGTGAGACATGCTTGAGAAAAGGAATAAATTTTGTATGAACACTGAGTTTCAGTCCATTGGTACCGGAGTACCGAGGCAAAACAATGGACAGAGAACAAATTCTTTTAATACATTATGTTGGAAATGAAGACATTCTTGATGAAGATAACTTGATTATTTACAAACCACTGCATCTAACCCCCTTTCAGAGGAAGGTCGAGTATATTACGGGGAAAAATACAAATACAAGTGTTTTAAGTACTTTTCCCTTAGTTAAAATAAACCAATTTCAGCAAACTTACTCAGTCGAGCGATACAGGCCATATGTGCCTCTTGTCGTTTGCTGTGGTTTTACAACTAAGAAATGAGTAGAAGAATTTTCAAAGATATCCGAATGTGAATTACTAATAAGCTAACACTAAGAAAATGAATACTAAACTTTGGCTGAAGCGAGATGTTAAACCAAGATGGATCCTGGAAACTATTTCTGGTATATTATGTCTCAGTATTGTTTAATATGTCGTGTATTTTATATTTACAAGTAGTTAATACATCCATTGATATTTTCTGTAATTGTATCCCTAAACAGGTGGAATACAACTTTTCAGAAATGCCATATTTGAATGTGATCAGCAACGAAGCTTTGGCTTCTTCATTCGAGGCAAATGCAAGGGAACTGGGGCTGGACTTTAAGGAACACGGTATGTCCACAGATAGCGCTCCATTGGGATCCACAGACATGGGCAACGTATCTTATGTTGTTCCCAGCATTCATCCCTTCTTCTACATAGGAACAGACGAGGTCAACCACACCAGAGGCTTTACGGAAGCTACAGGTATTGCTAAAATCCAATCCTGTTTAGTTCACTTTGTGATTTTTCTCTCCTTCAATTGTTTGCGTTTTTGCAACATGTAATACGGAATTCAAATGTATTCATGATGGCATTCTGCAAAGAAAACTTTAATTAAAAATCAATTGAAGAAAAATATACATAAATAAACAGGGTTCTTTTTCTTTCTTGCAAGGTGCCCCTGCCGCCCAACCGTACACCATACTACAAGGGAAGGCAATGGCAATGACAGCCATTGACGTTTTTACAAACAACGATCTTTTACACAGAATCAAAACTGAATTCGATAACGAACCACAAAGGAAAGCATAAAGACGAAACCCCCTGTGGATATGGACATTAAGAAGAAAAGTCCTTATATAACTGAACAGTTTTGAAAATATATCTAGTCAGATAGAATAAGGATGATTAAAATGATTAAAGATATTTAACAAGCGGTGATACACTTAGGAATTTGAAATTGATAGATAAGCGCTGGAAACAAACGTGCTATATTTTATGTAATGCAGAATCAACAATTCATCAACAGCTACATTTTTCAAATATGTGATTTTTTTTGTGATCGCAGGAAATAATTCGAAGTGCTTATAAGCCTGAATAATTTGATTGGTGCTTTAAGAGGTAATTTAAATAAAACATCTCCCAGTTTAAGTTCACTTTTTTGATAATGTGAAAGTATAAAAATGTTTTCTTTTTAAATATTACAAATATCTTGTGAATTGTATTTCAGAATGTTACAATTGTTGATATAAAACATAATAAATATACAAATAAAAACTAAAGAAAGAATTACAAACAATTTGTTTAGGATTTTTTTAAATTTCCAAAATCCATCTAAAATTACGCCATTTAGAATTCGAATTTATATGGATAACATGATTACGTAATACAGGAAAACAGTGTCAGAAATATCAGAGTTGTTCCGTTTACTTGGTCGGTTAGAGTTGTTCGGATACGAGGTTGGTTAGCCTTGGTGATATCGCGATGGTGTTCGATTACCGATCTGAATTAATGAAGTTATGTCTGACCACCAATGAGGATTTCTCTGAATAGACTATGCCATCCTGTATCAGGACTCCTTACATTCTCTGGAAACATCCTCCTGTATTAGTGTTTATTACATTCTGAAATAAGGGCCAACAAGATTGATTGCAATAATTTGATAATACATTCAACCAAATGGCTTTTAAAACCGATGATATGTTAGTACAAATGACACAAGCTAATTGAAATCCATTGCGTTTAGATGTGGTAGGAAACCATGTGGAACCATAGAAAACTGACTGTTCCTACCCGTGAGACTCTTGAAACTACCGACGGCTCACAGGTACATTTATGTTTTTGCTAAAGAAAAGATAAATATATACTCTTTTATCAACAGATAGTATAATTCACACGCACTTGCTAAGACCATCACAAATCACATGAGGGTCGCGTCTTCACTATTGGCAACTGAATCGTGTCGTAACTGTACAAAGTGGCCTGTTTTACTTCAGAATATGCGGCCGTGGATTATCAAACCAGCAAATTTTATCACCTCTGTGGGATGGAAAGATGTAAACCACAACCTTCGGGTTTAGAATTTCAACATGAAAATATCATTATTTAAACATAATCAAAATCCAAACTCAAATTCAACAAAACCAGTGCAAAATATGAACAAAAGAAAGATTTCCGCGTAGGCTCCAGAAGTAGCTCAAGTAGAGTACGACCAGGAGTTAAGGAAGATTAATCGTTTTCTCTGCTTCATTCGCAATATAAAACTTTATTAATCCAAATAGTGTCACGTTTGCAAATGAGAACAATGAATACCTCAACGAAACCAAAATTTAAACAAAGGAGCATCAAACACGTCAAGCTTCATAAAGAAACAATGAAATATAATATTTCTCAGTTAGATCACCTTGACCACCGTCAAACTTCCGATAATTTTCATCAACCTTCATATTATGAAACCTTATGATATGAGTTTTTCAGTCAATTTATCTCACGAAAATCGAGATAATAGGCTCTATGATTTCGAGCCCACTATGATCTGTAAACACCTACATGTGAAAAAATGCATGTTTTATCGAAGTTGAAAAATAATGACAAATTCTCCTATTAACAAACTTCCTCACCATCCGTCTACACAAGTATTTATTCAGGCGAACACACATTGCGACGTCTATGCAAATTCAGAACGTGTATTGAAATGATCCTAAACTAGCTCAGATATAATGTATTACAAATGGAAAACGTGTCTTGAATAATAACATATAGAACAGTATGATCAATATTAGTTATGGTAAACTGTATGTGCAATCAAAGTTTCATCCGTTCAGCATGAGCAACATCAAACTAATCCTTGTCAGCCACACAGAATCAGTTCTTCCAGTCCTCAAACTTTACCTGCAAAACATTTGTATCATGACATTTATATATATCACATCACTTACTTTTATTTCTGATGTTGGCATTTTAGATAACAAGTCTTTGAACCGAAAGAACAGTAATCAAAGTGATGAATATGACCCTTTAATCATAGACTTAGGTTATCTTAGACCTCTTGTAAAACGATTCATTTTGAACACAGTATGATGGCGGTACATCTTAAGGTTGTTGACAATACTTAAATACTGCGTAAAACATATACCGTTCCCGTAGATATCTATATTAGGCTTTCCTGTTTTGGCGGTCTTCACATCTCTGTTTGCTACCCTGCGGTTTCTTAAATTACAGTGAGGGCTCACTTCCTAAATCAGCTGTCCATCGTTTATCATAGTCTCCCAAAAGGGAATTTGCCAACACTCATTACGACTTACAGCGGAGCAAAACTTTAAACCGAAGTTGAGTGTTATTGAGTATTGTGCCACGTTTAAGAAGAACAGCAGAAGAAAAAAACCCAAACAAACAAACAAAAAATATCTACATGTATTCATGATTATATACTTTCTGATTTTCTGTACATGTATAAGGAGATCCGCCTGTTTAGGACTCCATACATAACCACTACGGGTTTAAAGCATCAGTCACGCCGCAACACACGAACGTGGTCTGGCTTTAAGAGTTGCTTGTGAAGAAATCGACAAGGTGACCTCAAAACTAAATGGTCAGGAATCGTAGAAGAACCCCGAGTTAAACTTCAGCGTGCACCATGCGCACACCATATTGACAGATTTCATGGAGAAGCAAGGCTTTCACGTAGACAGGAAGTATAAACTCAACACAGGCTTCCGAATCACATTCGGTGACGAGAGAACAGGTCCGCATGTGGTGGTGTTGTATGAGTACGACGCATTTACGGAAATAGGTCACAGTGATTCAGATTGGCCCAGCTTTCTTTAGGACAGATGTCCTAAAGACTGAACTTTTCTAAGGTCATTTTGTCCGAAAGAACAAAAACATTTAGGCCACAGTCAAACGATAAACAATTATTTTTATGCACAAGACAGTCACAGTAGTAATGTACATCAAGTTTGTTACATGTTGTACATAGCAGTATACAGGCAAGAAAGGGCTTTTTTCTCGTGAAAAAGCCTATAGCAGCATTTGAGCATAGTCACAGCTACACAGTTAGTCACAGCTAAACATTTTCCTGACAGTGCTGCTTTTCCATGCAGAAAGAGCCTTCTCATAATCAAAACTGTCACATTCTGACCTATTTATTTTCACTCTCAACAGCATTTCCTGCGTTTCAGGTGTAAGCCTGTTTCTTTGTGGAGAAAGGATTTGATTTTGTACAGAAAACCCACTTTGACAACCTGCCGTATCAACCGGGCATATCATGGCCATATAGGCAAGTTTTATGATGTTGGAAGCCATATCATTGTGGTACTGATTGATTAGTCTCCACAAAGTAACTATGGAGTCTCTTGGGTACATCTGAACTTTGACACTCTTTTAATTTCTTCCACTCTCTCCTTGCTGCCTATGAGTCTACAAGAGGTTGAGAGCATTTGGTTTTCTTTTCTTTCTCCTCAGTCCAGGTGTGTGTCTGTGATTGTCCAAAATGGTCTAGAATGACATCTAATTGCTCATTTCCCCAACTCTCCAACTCCTCACCTGAGAGCAATCCAATGGGCCTCATAGAGAGTATTCCAAATGCTGAGATAAGTTCTGTGTCTGGAAACCTGCAATCAAATATAATATTGATATTCATGTTAATTATATGATTTTCAGATTGTAACTTTCTCATTAAGTTAAAGTACCAAAGCGCAATCAAAAGGGAAAGTCCATATACGAATCAACATGGAAGCACATTCACTCTGCAGATGCAGCCATCAACATAAACTGGAGGCACTCTCCCCTAGCAGAGGCAGACATCGACACAATGATGTGAACAACAACATCGGGATAAATTATCAAACAATACAAAGTTTTGTTTTAATTCAACAGTGTACACAACTGTTATGCTTTGATCAACATGCATAATTATTAACAAACCTTTTCTTTATGTTAGCAATAAGATTTGAGATAAATTTCTGTTTCACAAAAATGATATTCCTTCTCTGGGCATCTCGTGATGGTGAGCTCCTTATAATGCAGAGTATGGCCCTGGATGTCCTTCTTCAGTTGCTGCTGGAATGTCCCTTCATATTCCCTCAACTGGCCCAGGTCTTTCAAAGTATGGTCAATCTGTACCTGCACAGAATATACAATAAAAAAATTTGCAAACAAACCTACTTAATAATATGAATTAGTTATTTGCTGGATCTGACCAATAACTGTTAACACTATTGATCTTGATTATAATGATAAGGAAGAGACGATTAAGGTCAACACTGTGAGCCTAAACTTGTCAAATTCAAATACAGCAGAAAACTTACCTTGACCATAGCAATGTCTGTAAACTCCTTCTGGAAAAAGATATTCAGTTTGGAGACGATTGGGATGACGTCCATGAGAATGTATGTCAGCGAGATAAACTTCAGAGTTCCAATCTGAAATAAAGGGGAAGTCAAATGTTACTGGCTGCATACTTCATACTACAACATCAAGAAATAAGGAGACACACATGACAGGATAATATGAATCTCTATCAAAATCCTGAGTCATCTTGGACACGGTTTAAGTCAATTTATCAAGTAAAATTACCCAGTGATAAAATGCGCAAGCAAAAAATGAACAATGAACAATGCATTCAATGGAATTGTAAACAACAGGAAAAAAGAACAGCAAAAGCAATATAACTTTTGCAAAACACTAATTTCTTTAAAAAAGTAAGACAAATAATATATCATTGAAATATTTATACTGCTACAATCACATGGTTTCCATTTTAATTAAGATTAATTTTGGCTGAATTTACATGATGATGAATAATTGAACAAAATAAAGACTTAAGTGCAGTGGCACTTGAGTTTTAGTCATAGTATAAATGATAACTGTTACTATAGTAACTAAAACAAGGTGAATGTAGCAATATTATTTCAACATTGCAACTTGAACATCAACAACATGCAACAATAAACAGTAACACTAACTGTAACTGAAATGAAAAAAAAACTTTTTCTTGAGTCCCTGTGCTTTAGGATCAGAAGATTCATGCAGACATATCCTAATAGCCGAAGTAGGCATGGCGGCCGGTGTTTTGGAAACATTCGGGAAACCTATTGGCAAGGTATATCAGTGAGATACTAAATTCACGCGCGTGTTAATTTATGTTACATGTAGTACATATATTGATAAATATAAAGATTATATGTTATGTACACGCTCAAATAAGTTGTTCTCTTTCTACTCTCGCTGCTTTCTCTGCTTACGTTCTGATTTGTAAAATCTGCTCCTTAAAGGGATTTAACATTTTAAACTATTGTAGATATTTTAACACGCACCAATATGACCATTAATTTAGTCTTCAACATTCCTAATCTGCCTCGTGTATGTTTAAACCACTCTTTTATGATACATGAACCATTTGGTAGAATGAAACGAAAGAAAGTAACTCTCGGAGATCCGAATGACAGAATGTCGCCGAAGCACCAGTAAAACTTCCCGAGGAATTTTGTTTCTGACGAACCATGTTAATTTTTTTTCCTTGTGTGGTAGATGACTTATCAGTGCATTATTAGTGTATTTAATCTCGTTGTAAATATCCTATGACAATAAGCATTTGTTACTTTCAACCTTCTCGGTTATGAAATCAAAGTCACTGATTATGTTTATATATCACCTGCATGATAGATCTGCAGTTGAACTATCTGGCGATAGCTTATTATGTAAATTCACTACCGAAGTTGGTATGTTAAAATGTAATGTAAAATGTGTACAAAGTGACCATTTTGCTACAGAGTAAGGTGTAGACGAAGGCTTTATGTTTGTTGCTGAGATTATAGATTTCTTACAGTTGAGTTAGTGAGTTGACTGTGAAATTGGTCGATCTATCTGAGACTGTCTCGTCCGTAAACTAAACCGTGATGTGAATAATCATTGTATTGTTTTTCTTAGAACATTTATTGGTAACAGGAATGTTTTGTGTTGAAAGCAAAGAAAGATCAACTCGATTCTACTAGAAAAAAAAGCGAGAAGCGGAGGAAGGCAGCAATGGAAAGGGAAAACGTTTAAAGAGCAGTACATTACTGTAATTTTAGCTAGACTAAATTTTCGGCAATAAAGTAAATTTTAAAATTTCTCGGGGCCCCCTTTTCGAGCTTTCGATATGCAGAAATGTAAAGTATAACAAAATATGCATTATGAATCTACATTAGATAGCAAACCTACTTCTACAGGTTAGCCAATATATTATATGATCAATGAGGTAATAACGACAGTAAGGAATTGCCAAATTTTTGATGCAATATAACCTTTATCAAAAGAAAAATACATATATTATATCACATACATAGAAGGCAAAACAACGATTAATACGTTACTGACATTGGACTAAATCTTCACTGGAACTGTTCAAATACAACCTCTGAAATCACGAACATTTACAATATGACATCTTTCGTTTAAGTGCAATAAAATTCGCCTAAGAAATTAAGGTTATATAGGAGTCAGTTAGGTGCTCTTACAGACTTTTGGTGTTGTTGGGGATACAGTTCCTTTTAAAATACTTTTAACGTGTTTGATGACTTAAAGTTTTGTTTTCATTACTCCAGCTTTCGTTTGGAAGATTTTGCAACTCTGGAGCTCGACCAACAAGCTAGGAATACCTGCGCATTAAGAACAACTCGTTCTCTTCCCATTAAACGAATATAGAGGTGTTCATGTAAAGACTTCATTTTTTATATTCTGTCCCCGATAATTCAGATGTGGGTTATGAAAACGTTGCGGCAACATGTTATATCGTAATCACTGATAAATGACTTTCATTGATTAGGATATTTTAAAATATTAAGGGGACCAAACATAACACTCGGAGCACGTCCTCGTTGGAGAAGTCTCCATCCGAGAAGGATGCCTTCTATCACGCTTACATTAGCCTACTTTTCTATTCAATTTGATTTATTGACTTTTTACCTGTTATAGCTGGCAGTGTTAGGAACTCCAACAGGAGGAGGTGGAAGTTGAAAAATCATTCTCATCGATCAACACGGATTTGACAATACGGACGTCGCAATGACGTCATGTTTGGCCATGGGGTTATGTTGATGCTATAAATGTCTGCCTGTCAAAGGTTTGAAAAGTACACAAATGACATAGTGTATAAAACGTTAAGAATATAGATTTATAAATGCCTATAGATAAAAGTTTATTTGAGGGAAATCTTCACTTTTTGTTTGTCTGTTGCAGAAAATTGTTTTTCGTTTCGTTAACATCAAGATATGATGAAAGCAGGATCTTGCATCACCATTAATAAGTTTACCAGTACACTGAGAAAGGCATAACGATTCTTTTCAACAGGCCTGAGTATATATTTTCATGCCTAAAAATGGTAAACAATTATTGAAAGAAATTGATAGAAAGCCGTAAGGTATAAATAAACTACGTCACATAATTTCTAATACTATGATATTGTATGGGCGAACTACAGATATAGATACTCATGTATTAGATTTAGATTCTGCTTAAAAAATATAGCATGACTCTTTACAGATATGAGATGAGTAATGAACACAATAATCTAACATTGCTTATATCCTAACTCTCCTACCGGTATATTGACGTTAATGTAGAGCCTTGTTATCTGTTATATGACAGACACTTGAATGTAATGAGATCCAATTACAAACTAATTTTTCCAAACATTATGTCTAAATGAAGCAATCCATCTTTTTCGAACTCGATAAAATCAGCAATGGCTCTATAAAGCGATATGTTTTATTTCAACTAGTTTCATCCATATGAATGTCATTTTGAAATATCTTTGGATCAGAAAACTGATTACCTAGGAGAAACCAAAGACAGCTGATAGTTTCCTGATGGGTTCCTTGTCGCCAGGTCATTTTGTGAATTTCTCTCATAATAAGTTTTCAAATGATATATAGAATTACTTAAGTGTAATTTTTTAGGCCTTTTTTCACCGAAGTTTTTTTGTGTGTGATCGCGAGAAATCATACTTAGTGCTTACAAGATTAGATAATTTGATGGATTTTTTTAGCAAGTAAGAGAGTTCACAAAAGCTCAAACAATTTAAAAGACGTTAATATATAGAAATATCTCCCAGATTCAGTTACACAATCCTCGTGGCTGTTCTTAATGGTATCTATTTCACTCTCGTTAGTGATTTTTCAATAGCTTAAGCTCGTATTCCTTGTAACTTTTGAAGAATAACTAACAACAAAAAAATACCTACATGCGGAAACTATTGACTTTGTTTACGAACTTTGATTGCAGCGCAATAATATATTCTGAACTAAAATGCCGATAATCAATATTCATAAATGACAATTCCAGAATGTTTAAAAACATAATTTATTTCCACTTATAACAAGAAATTAACAAATATAGTATTTAAAGTCCATTATATAATTGAAATATGTATGACAATTACATGATATCAATCGAACAAGAATTTCTTTGAGTGCATGAAGCGCCATTTCGGTCAAAGTTCATCCTGTCGGCCACGTGGTGTAACATATATGTTTATACAACAGTTGGAATGCTTATTTGATGGCTTGAGAGTCGAATAACACCAACCTTTTGTGGCATGAACAATGTTACATGTAAGTATGTGCGAAATGATATTTATACAAGACGAAAAAAAAAATTATTTGTATAGATGTGACGTCATTGTTATCTAACCGTGTTACTTATCAGGACACTGCGCTAATCTCCGCAGATTTCTGTCATCGCTTTCCTGAAAACACTGTCTTAGTTTTGACTGTTTTAAAAATATTGTATATAAGTGTAAAATTATAACAAGTGTTAATTTATAGAAACGATATACATAGATCTTACGGACGAAGAAATTGCGAACAATGACAATTTATTTTTTCTGCACAATTTTGTGTAAAATTAAAAGAAAATGTCAAATATCTACAAATGTTACAGGTATAGTTCACCTTCCATATAAAATTATATGACACATGTTATGTCTATACAGATAACATGATTATCTGTTGTTAGAAATATTACAGAGTTGCTTCGTATACTATTTAGGTTAGGGTCGTTCAGATAAGAGGTTGAGTAGCTCAGTGTTCCGATTACCCGACCGGATGTGTGAAGAAATGGGGCCATGTCTGACAAATAATGAGGGGTTTCTCTTGGTGCACTAAGCCCTCCTTTGTAAACTGTTACATTCCACAGTTAAGACCAACAAGAATGGTTCTGATAGAATCTAACAAGTAGCGATATGTTGGTGTACATGATATCGAGCTCATGAGGTGATATATGGGTTATATTATCACACGCTTTATCTGTACAACTATTTATTTATCGATAATGCCTTGGATATTGGACACTGATATGACTGCCTCCATTTTAACATGTTTAAGTTAAACTAACAATTATTTATTACAAGTTTAATCATGATCAATAATCTGAGAAAGTAATTTCTATAATACCTTAATAATGTCAATGTCTATTATTCATAATTTAGCAATAGATAGTTTCACCTTTTTACAACAATAATAAAATAAATATACTTTCTAAAACTGTCACCAAACATAGAAGTCCTCACAATTTATAACCTAATCATGTCAACCATACAAAACTTCCTTGTTGTCTACAACATACACGGGTGTTTTTAAATAAGCTTTCGTAACAAAGTAGCCGAGTCAATACAATTCTTTTTATTTGTTATTTTAAGCTCTAGTTGACCAAGGTCTACCTTTTTACCGTCTCTATGCACTTTAATTTCAATTCTCTTCACACCTCAAAACACAAACTAATATCCTACAAAATGGAAGCAAACACAAAACCTGTTTAGTAATTTAGTAAAAATTTTAACTCTAAAAAACAGAAAATAGGCTAAATCGTTAAACAAAAAATAAATACACGTATTCCAATGAACAGGACAAGATGATATACACAGGTGCTCCCCAAGGGTAAAAAGCACACAGTTAAAACAATATTGCCACACGGAAGTTGTTCATATCTTTATTTTAAAGCAGTCTGGATATAATGAGCGATTGTTTCTTCTGATAGGATAACGTTACACATTGAGAGAAAACACGATTTTGATTTTAATCGCATTTATTGCTCAATAAGCGCAACTAGGTGTAGAAGTATTGATTTACACGTAGGGAATCCATATTTCATATCACTATATGTAATTATGAAATACAATCGTCTACATGCACTATTAACTTAAGGTATTTATCTATAGTAACAAACTCTCACATTTACATACTCCCTCTCCCACCCCTCTATGCAGCTATTCCCAAAGTCAAGTATACATTGAATCCGCTCTGCAAATTTAGAATGTATTCTGTAATCCTCTACTCGTCAACCTTACAAAATGATCATGTGTTCTCAATGGCACAACGTATCTAAAAAAATACAATTTAGACTCAAAATAATCATTGCGGGTTATGGTAAACTGTATGTGTATTCAAACTTTAATCCTTTCATCTGTTCAGCAAGAGCAGCATCAAATTTCTCATTGTCAGCGACTGTGAACCAGTTCTTCCAGTCTCCAACTTCACCTGCAAAAAATGGAATTATTTTATATTTCAGGTAAAAACCTAAGTGAACACATTTGTGAATAGGAGGAACACGTATCAAAATCATGCCGAAGGAATGAACATTTAATCAAACCATAACCCTAGTTTAACTAAGACGTCCTGTTGATCAGCAAAACGATTTTTGATAATATCCATTTTAAACTCAATATGATGGAGGATGTAATCAATAGTTTAATGCTGGGTTAAGTGTTTACCTTTCCTGTACATGTTTTGAAAATCATCCATTTCTGGATTAGGATTTCCGGATTTGGCAGCCTTAACCTCTTTGTTTGCTTTCTTCAGATTTTGGAAATTACAGTTATGGCTCACTTCTTTGATCAGCTTTTCGTCATAGTCTACCTTAAGGAAGTCTGCCAAACGTCGAGTCTCTCCTATAGGATCCTACAATAATGATATAACAGAATTAATTCATAGATCAAAATACCAAAACCAAAGAGATCAGTCATCGTTTCAGAGATTTCCTACTGATTTTGTTATATTGATATCAATGGATTGAAAACAAATCAAGTGATTGTTGCAGGTATATTTCATAGATTATGGGGCTAGGTTATCTCCCCATCTAGATTTTGACTTCTGTTTCTTTCGGTCAATTTGGATGTTGCTCAGTAGCCTCCTAGGCCTCAAAATGTAGGGCCATAGCATCACTAACGAGTCCTAGAAGGACGAAATAGCTTTACGATTAAGTTTCATTCATTGTTTGGCTCTACTGTCCCTAACTTTAATTTTTCATGAAAATGTGCTATTCACGTTTATGTCTTTTGGTACAATCTTTCGGTGACTTTACCTTTTTAATATCTTCATAGTACATCAGATGAATTTGTAATGTTTGGTTGTTTGCTATTATTTCGTTCCATTCGTTCGTATATCTGAACCAGTTGACTGTAAAAACTGGGAAAAAATGTCCATTATATATGTAGTCCAAAATTGACCATTAATAAAACTAATCATTTGCTTTCCCTCATTTTAAAACGAAAGCAAAACGAAATTCGTCGTGATGTGTGCAGGACACTTGAAGAAGAAACTGCTGACGGACTTAAGTCCCCGAGTTATAAATTAATTCCACATGGCACAATTCATAATGTACGTTCTTTTGAGATTATTTAATGTCAAGCAGTATGGTGCAAGTGCACCTCCCAATCTTGGTTTTGATATTTATTTCGATCACTTTGGCCTCCTAGGCCTCAAAATGTAGGCCCTTAACATCACTAACGAGTTCCAAAATGACAAAACTGTAGTATGGGGCATTTGATTCATTAATTGGTGATACTGTATTTAATTCTAATTTGAAATAAAAGATGTTATTCGTTTGTGTGTTTTGATCAATAGTTCAAACTAAACGTGAATGTTATAGCCGAGACTTAACCTTTAATCAGTAATATACTATACCATCATCAAGGTACATCTGTAGAAAATCGCTGAAGGAATGCTTAAATTGTCCTATAGTCATGCTTCTTCTGTGGTGGAAATTGGAAACAACACTATCTTTAGGATTCCTTGTGATAAAGATGATTCGTCCCTTGGAGCCATTTTGAAGCTGTTCAGGAAGAAGCCTTAGATAATAATGTGTGTTGAGTGCTCTAGGGGATGGTAGATCGTCAAACTCTTCTGGCCAATGAAATTCCAGCATTCGTGTCTCCTTAGATACGTGTTCGTATTCAGCTTTTCCCTTCAGAAGCATGGTTGTCATTTCCCACACCCAGTGTGTTCCTATTCAAAGCATAATATGAAGGAATTTGGCTACGATTTTTCTCGTTGTATTTTTTATTATAAAAAATGAAACAAGAGGAAAATTTGTATCTAAGAACCAAATCACATCTTGATATATGTACATGTTCGTGTTCACAGTTACTACATGCTACTGGTATGCAATGTAACACTGAATTCAATTATAAATACATAGAAAGATTATTATATTAGGTGTTAGACTCTCCTGGTGGACTTTTACTACCGATGTTTGTCGTAACCCGTATGCCATCGATTTTATCCGTTTGAACAATGACACAATTTTGCTTTAGGTCACTTTTGATTTTCCTCAGTCTTCAAACTTTTAGCATAACTGACAAGTCACAGAATTACAATGCCTTAATCAGACCACAGAATTATTTTAATTAAAAAGCGTATGTTTCCGCATTAAAAATGCCTTGAAGTAACATTGTAAACTGTTTAGAAAAAGTCATATTTGATTATTTTTTTGATTCGGTAGAAGGAAAAATATTTTTTCCATATTTCATTTTCAGTCAAGTCAAATAACAGTAGTCTGAGGTTTGGTGTATTGTTCGGAAAAAACACTTTAGTATTCTCTGGAAGTCAAAATAATGCAGAGTTGCCGCCCCAGTCACCTTTGGTCCTTTGGTCAAACATTTACTAAAAGTACAGTACGCCTTTCAAATGTACGTTATATTTTATGAAGAGTACCTGCTTTCATGGCCGCACAAATAAAAACGTCATCATCTCTGCATTCCATATCTTTCATCTTCTTCAAGTTTTCACGGACATCGGGGATGAATCCGGAGTTCATCAAGTTCACATCAAAGTTGATGCCTTCATGCTTTAACATCTTCCTTTGTTCTCCGAGGTGTGTAGTGACCGTAGTCAACTCCGACTCCTCATACTTAGCTATAAATAAAACATCGGAAATAGTAGTATAAAAACGACATGATTTGTATAAAAAAAACTAGGGATTTGTTTGTATCATGTTAGATTGAACTACTGTTTGCTGGTATCTTCGAAGCCTAAAACAGAGATATAGAAAAGCATTAACTCAATAAATACAATTGAATTAAATGTTTTTCCACACATGCTTGTTAACGTATCTAAGTAATGTGATAACCAGAATGTCTTCATGCTTTTCCTGAAACTTGTTATCCTTTCATAATGGGAAGTCAGTTGAGACCCTACCTGTACATTAATTGCATATCATTATTTCGTTGATATACAATTATTTTTGGAAAGTCAGGTAAGACCCTACCTGTACATTAATTACATGTCATTATTTCGTTGAAATACAATGATTTTAATGCTGCGGTTATCTTAAAGTTATGAAGCTACACTTTGGACGTCAGTACTATCAAAACGAAGAATATACTTGATATCAATAAAGCAGAAGTATACAATTATTCTATTGCATCATATCTTCAGTAAACGTAAACAACATATTGATATCAAACCTGAGCAAGATTATATTTACCTGGTGTATAATTACCCTTGTGTGCCATCTCACTTTGTTCATGTACCCAGTGATACCTAGAAACAAAGCCAATAGATTACTGGGTAGAATTTGTCTATCAAATCACGATAAAGAAGCCGTAACCTTTGACTTTTGACCTTGTGTATTTTAAAGGGAGACAATGCAACAAGCTCGCATACGGAGCCGATGATAAAAACTGACCCTTGTAATTTTACATGTGTACTATGTACCACGTATACACATTTAATAGGGTCATGCATGGCTTCCGTAACAGATCTATAGAAGTTAACGAAGAGTTTGTCGTCTTTCAGTTACATGTACCAGATCGAAACCAAAGAAATAATAAATATTAAATATACGGAATCACACATATAAACTTCTACCTTACACATTTAATAGGGTCATGCATGGCTTCCGTAACAGATCTATAGAAGTTAACGAAGAGTTTGTCGTCTTTCAGTTACATGTACCAGATCGAAACCAAAGAAATGATAAATATTAAATATACGGAATCACACATATAAACTTCTACCTTACCACTGTAATCGGCTTCTGTGTCGTGTTCTGGGTGTACTTACCTCTCCGCCCTACTGCTTCTGTTCACAAATACCGCCGATGTTATGCCCGACACAAGCTGTAGACTTGCGCTAGTTTCTTACGTTATTTCATTCATATGTGTATATACATGTGTAATAGCCTCAGCTCATATCTACATTTATATATGTTCATATACTATACTAATGAATGAATTTGGTTAGAAAATTTGTATTTTCTAGAATATCTTAAGCGTAAGCATTTTTCTTGATATCAGCTGTTACACAGGCTTGGGAATGGTGGTATATTATAATGGACATAGACGAAACGACATTTAAAATGTCGATACAATGACATTGTATTAACCATTATCACAACGTGGGCAAATCATCTGTAACAATGCTTAATCTTATTAACTTAGTTATGTGTTGAAGAAAAGATTGAATATGAACGTGTTTAGAATTTGTTGGTACCGTTGTTGTATACATTGCTCTGATTTGAGAACTTTACTTACATGGATTGACCAAGGTTTACAAGAAGGGTGTCGTCGATGAAGCAAAAGACGGTTACTCTTCCGAAAAATTAATCTTAGTCTCCTTTTACATTTTCAGGCGTCTCCGTGTAAATCTTTCTTTTGTTCATAGTTTCCCCTAGTTTTATTGAATTCAAGTTTGGATTATGATTATTATGACACAATAGTATTTCCTTGCTGTTGTCTTTAGGAGTCTTTGGAACATATGGCAAGCCTGTCGCAGCATGCTGTCCGGATCAGTTGGAGTGACTTTCTTGTTTAAGGCCCCAAGCATTTCAGCAAAGACCTGTCCAAGATCTCAATTTCTTGAGAAAAACAAACCGACCCGAGAAAAGATCGCACCTACATACACAAAGTATACATCTGATATTGTTCCTATGCTCTACAGACTGAGCTACGGCGGCCTTGGTACATTAGAAACATGAAAAATGTCCTTTATTAGATTTCATGAATTTCCTTCAAGATAAACGCAAAAGAGTAAAATGATGATTTAAAAGTCATCCTTCAACTGTTTCGTCCTTCTAGGACTTGTCATTGGTGCTAATGACTTAAACTTTGAAATTAAGTAGGCGACTGAGGAAAATCAAAATTGATCGAAAGAAATGTCCAAATCTCATAAATTTGGAGGTGCATTAACCATGTGATTCAATTAATATAGTAATTTCCCTATATCTGATAATTTGAATAGAAAACATATTCAATTTAAGGGTCACAACAAACCTGGTAACTTTTGACTAAAACCAAGACAAACATATTCGAACCTTGCCGAAGAAAACGAAATGTTCCAAAAAGGAAGATGAAGTTTACAAACTGTAGTGTGGTGATTCTGTTCATTAATGTGCGTGTGAAACGTACAAAAGGTGGTCTCTGGTTCGTTTCTTGATACCGACTCAATATGAAGCTACAGAAATGGTTTATATACTTTACAAGGATGAGTGATCCATTAAAAGATGAATGATCAAGTAAGCCAGACAGCTGGTAAAAAATATTAGAAATAATGATATTACATAGATATAATTTATACCTACTTTTTAGACATAATTACCTTGGGCAACATGTATTTCTGCCATGTAAACATGCAATCTGTCTATAGCCTTTGGGCATAATACGATAAGGCTTTTTGATATAACTCATATTCATATTTTCTAAATACAAAATATGAGATTTTACAAATAATATATATTTTGATAATATCGGTATATTTAGAAGTGATATATTATGGTTCACTCTTGTAAAATTGGAGAGCATAACACTACATTATCACTGGTAATTAGGCATCCACAGAAATTGGGGGAGGATATATGCAGTGTTTTGATCGTTACACATCTAAGTATTGTCGTTTTGTCATTGCTTCTGAATATCTTTTCATGGCATTACCCTCAAGGTCACCTCCGTACATGACATAATAAATAGAGGTTCACCAGCGAGTGACGATTGCATATCATGTTTATCTAACTATCGTTAGTTCAATTTCAAATTTGATCTTTTTTTACTAACGAGAGTTAAATAAACATAATAAACTACCATTATTTGATGGGGAACTTGTTAATCCCAAACCTTTTAAATAACAAAATTGTACCGAGTTCAAATTTCCCAAACATGGCAACCAAATTTTGTGAGCAGCATTACTACACGACAAAATATAGTTCGTAATGATGACCGATAAATGTTAATTGTAATATACATAAAATACATTTTGAAAAATGATACATTCTTATGAAAAGAATTGTGTTTGTGTGTTTTATTAGTAGAACACTCGTTTAAATCACCCCGCGAAATGAACGCCATGATATGGCGAGGTCGAACGTCAAAGCTTTGACAGCTGAATACTAAACTAATAACTGTCGTAATTCCATCTGTCGTTTCATGGCAGTTGTGTGATTATTGTTGATGGTGATATCAAATGTTCACTTGATGATTTTTTTTCATTCAAGACAGGAGAGACGTGTTTCAATAGGTTTTCAGGAAACTGAGCTGGAGTGATGAGCGGATGTCGTGGCACGGTAATGTTGACACATGTAATGATGACATGGCTGCTACACTGGCCGAAGGGCAACACGTGGAATTGTTGTGCGGTTGACGGGAGTTCAACGCCGAAATGCATTGATATACTGTACTCATTTGTGTGCCCAGAAATGTACTGTATAGAATAATCACGAATTTGCGAACGTGTGTATATCAAGCGTACTAGACAATGTGTCATTTTATCTGTTTATTGACAAGAGACAAGTTTTCCAAAATGGAATTTCTTGTTTTTGTGTTCGGGATATAAATTTGCATTTAAGGTAAGTTAAATGATCAGGAATTGTTTAGTTTAATGTTATGTTGGCGACAATACACTGCCTAGCTAATTACTGGACCCAGTTATATTTGCTTAGGTTCAATACAGGAATCATGCATTAATTTGAGAGTAACTTCTCATCTGTGTACGATATTTCCTTGCTGAATAGTCAGTCAAAGGATTTCCATGGTCTTTGTCTTTGAGACCCATGATAAAGCATAATCTTAATAATCAGCGTGCATGCATTTTGAAATTATCAAAGGGAAACTATACTTCATCCCGATCACAACATGGACAAATGGAGATGACTTCTTTGTACAGCACTAGAATGATCTGATTTCTCTGTCATTGACAGAGGTTAACCAATCAGAATTGTTGGTGGTCAGATACAACTAATCAAAGGCATTGAAAGTGTTAAACAAAAACACACTGCTGCAAGTTTTACCACGTGGGATATTGGTTGTAAAATATTATGGGATAGAGTGTATTATATTATCGTATGAAATCAAAACAAAGGAGCGACACCATAACACCTACTATTTCCATATACTCAATCAATAAACTAATGTTTTCTGTACCCAATGAAACATTTCAGAGACATAAACGCTGCGACAACAACGGGTAAACAAAAGCAAGTGGCAGTTGACTGAAAATCCGATATTTCTCTTGACCAATAAAAAACAGTCATAACCCTTTCTGTGTCAATGAAGTATTCATCCATGATTATTTTAAACTTGGACTGGACAGGTATATATAATTTTCAAGTAAATCCGATGTCATCACACATTATATTACAAAATAATCGAAACAAGAAGATAATGGAACGAAATTGCCAACAAAACGATACTCATATTTCAAATCGGGGTTAAATCAGGGATAATATTAACTAGAAGTACAAGAAGAGTAAGACCAGTAAGCCTTCTCTGCTTCATCGACGATGCCGTCATGTAAATAGATACATTTGTACAGTAAGGTTTTAACTTCTAATCATTACACAAGTTGAATTTACTTCAGCAGGTGAATATTGACTTTTTCATTTTCCATAAATATTTGCCTAATTTCGCACCAACATGAGCTTATCCACCACAGAGTTGATATGCTTTGGCGTATATGTCAAAATACCAAAATTGTCTGGAATTAAGAAATAATGTAATAACAAGAGGCTTATAGGGCCTGTATCGCTAGCATAGATCTTAAAGCCCAGCAATGGGTTTACATGCCTATCTGTTTGGTATATCAAATATTTCTAAATTACAGCTTAATCACTTAACCCTATTGGTAGGGCAAGACCAATTGGTAAATTATTATAGTATATTTACCATAAGGTTTTTGACTTTGGGATCTCAACCGTGTCAAATATATGACCCAGGAATTAAGTCCCTAGAGGTGTGCCACACCCAAGGGTCAATTTTACATCACGAATATGTTTATCTCTTGATGCCCATCATTGCTATATATGATTATGGGATGGGTATCTCAACTGTTTCAAAGATATAACCCAGAAACAAAGTCCACAAGTGTGGGGCCAGACCCTACAGCCAATCTTACATCTTGATAGTGTTTAGCTCTTGATCCCCAACATTGTCATGTATGGTTATAGGGTGGGGATCTCAACTGCTTTAAAGATATAACAAGGACACTAAGTACCTTTGGGTTGGGCCAGATACAAGGGCCAACGCTTACATCACGACTGTGTCTCTTTATGTCCAGCAATGCTATATATGGCTACGTGATGAGGATATCATTTTTAAATTGAGTCCCTCTGCTCCTGCGCTAGGGGGCTAAGACCCAACATTTATACAAAATTGATTCCTTTTCACCCAAATATGCATCAGACTAGAATTGAGCACCTATAAATATAAGATTTTAAAGTATTTACCCTGTTTCGCCTATTGTGCCCCTCGACACCTGCCCTAGGGGCTGAGACGCACCGTTTTTAAAATATTGATCCCTCTTTCACTAAGGAAGCTTCTGACCAAAATTGGTCCAAATCCGCCCAGTCTTTCATGACAAGACTGTAAGAAGAATGGATTAAGGAGAGGAAATTAGGCTAGGAGGGAATGACATGGATGGGGGATGAGATTGGAGGGGCGGTGCATTGAGGAGGTATGAGGCTTAAAAGGTGGTGCATGGAAGAGGAATGTAGTTAGGAGGGAACAAGGGCGGGGCATTGGAGGGGAAATGAAATTAGGAGGGTTGGGCACGGAAGGGTTAAATGTTTAGCGATTGAAGCATGGAGGGGAAGGAAGAGGAGGG